CTTATAAGGTATTAACTATTATTTAGTTATCTAATATATAGGTCTTAATATCTATTAGTTATATACCTAGACGTCATTAAAAACATTTAGAGGGCCGGCATCTCCCGCCCTCCGCCCGACCCTCGCGGGCGGAGGGCTGATACTTGCCTACCCTCGCCCGACCCTCCGCCCTCTAAGGGCCGCCCTCGAGCGGCCCTCATCGGCCCTCATTTACATAAAAAAAGTTGACCTTTCCTAATTGAGATGCATAAAAGTGCTAACTCATCACTTTAAATTACGGTTATTTAACAGTGTTCTGGTTTATATATTAAATTTACACTCTATTTCTTTATCAGCGTCAAGAAACTTTATAAAATTGAGTTGTATTACGATTAATCATAGCAGGTAATAATAATATTATATATTCCTAGTATCTTTAAGTGTATTGGTTGTTATCAATTGTAAAAGTTATCAATTTTGGATAATAGAGTTATAGAAATATATATTTGCAACTGTAGCTAGATAGTATATACTTCTTATCTGAATACCAATTTTTTTAACTTTTATATTTCCCCTATAGGATATTGATATTTTAGTAAAACTAATAAAAAGAGCTTTAATTCTTCTACTTAGAAATATTTAAAATAAGATATTATTGAAGTTCGTATATTCTAAAGTTGTAAGATATTTACTACTGGTTTTTACTAGATTTAGGGGTTATTGAATTTAGTAGAAAAATGAGGGCTAATTGAGGGCGGTTTGAGGGCGGATCGAGGGCGGTTTAAGGGCGGCCCGTATATTCTAAGGGCGGATCGAGGGCTAGATAAGGGCGGCCCTTAATTAGCCTAGTAAATCTAGCTAGTTATAGAGATTATCTTAGGTTAAAGTGGGTTATATTGTGATATGTTTATTATTTACCGAGTGAGCTGAACTTTAGGGTGGTTAATCAATTCTATTTACTAGGACTTGTTAATTTTCTTAGTATGTCTACCTTCTGATTCCTATCCCGTTTTTAAAATAAACTCTATAAGTGATTATTTAGTTAACAATATCTTAAATTTCTTAGTTTTTAGATATCTATTCTTTATCTATCTACGACGGTAATCCTATAAATTTAACCGACCCTCTTCTCTACTTTCCGAATAAGCAATTCCTAACCCCTAAGGTTTCCGAAAGCTAGTAGATATTTAATACTACCTTAAATTCTAGGTTTCTTACCCCAATTCCTCTACCTTTAATTCCTTCTTCACTTCAGCGTATTAGTCTAGGTCGATTAATAGTGTTTATTCTATATACCGATATGTCAAAAGATGATTTTGTTTCCTAGTGGTTAGAGACTGAGTTTGGAAAGACAAAAAAACGACTAAACTAGAATAGCAACCGGACAGCCGCTTGCTAGGACCAATTTGATCAAGTTGCTAATACAAAAACCGGTAAACTAGGGGTAATATATCGTCAATGCTATAAAGTCCTCGATTATCTAGTAAATAGGCGGTATAGAACAACTGCACTTTATCGATACTTAGCTAGACCGACCTATCGTAAATCTAGTACCCAGAAGGGCAATATTAAGGGACTACTTGTGAATACCGTATATATTATATAATTTTTCTATTATTATTTACTAATAACTCTCTGGATCAATAGGCGTAGAACGTACTAAGTAAGTCAACAGTCTTTATATAAGAGGTATAGGAACAGAAGCTCTTACAATTACTTACCCTCTCCCGTCTCCCCTTTAAGTTTATTAAATACCTAGAGTTTCGTAAGGTTATTACCTTTACCCGACTTACCCCGATACAACTATAGATCCCTTCTACAGTCACAATACAGTCTCGACTACGGCGGTATATCTAGGAATAGTAACAGTCTATTCTTAATAAGCTTCCTCCTAATATAAAGCTTTCGATTGTATTAGATTGCTAGATATCTCCGTTTCAATAGGCCTTTATAGCCGTTACTAGCTACTTCCTCGACTAGTATTAGGAGTATCGAGAGGTTCTTCTTAGATTTGAACTATTATCTGGCTTATACTTAGGTATTAACCTAAGTAACGTAGTTTTAAAGCTCCTCTATTAGTATAAGATTACAGATCGAGTACTTATAGTCACTACCGATAATATATCAAATAATAATACTATAATAGTAAGTATCTAAGAATTACTCTAATCTCTTAAGCTAAATAATAGTACTATAATCGTTCGGGTTCCTTATATTGCCTATATTATCCAGCTTAGTCTAAATAATCTTCTTAGGAAGATAAAGGCAATTCTAAAGAATAAGAGTACGGAGATAGACTAGTCTAACGACCGTATTCGATCTCTTCGTATAAGGCAACAAAAAAGAGAAATTGTTAATACGCTTAATAAGGTATACCCCTATAACCCTACTTTTTTTATTATACTAATCCTTCTATTCTTATATAGGTCCGAAACCTTACTATCTATATTAACGTAAGTCTATAACGGAGAGAGTCATTCTGTAACCTTTAAACTAAGGAGCTAAGGCTTAGACTGCGCCAAAACCCGAGAATGGGTAAGAGAAGTCGACCCGCAACCCGAACCCGCAAACCCGATGGGTAGACTCGACCAACCCGCAACCCGCCCCGCAACCCGCGCGGGTAACCCGCGCGGGTTCCCGCAAAAACCCGCGGCTGCATAATTTTCCCAATTAAGCCATGGCGAAGTGTATAAAAATGCTGATTTATACTAATAAAATACAGTAATCTACGGCGGTTTTGTTTATACGTCTAAGGCACCCTTCGACTACTGCTATTTCTGACCGCGGTTAGAAATTATCTATATATTGAAAACTCCCTTCAGACTACTGCTATCTCTGACCGCGGTCAGAAATTATCTATATATTGAAAACTCCCTTCAGACTACTACTATCTCTGACCGCGGTTAGAAATAGTATAGGCAAAGTGGCTTTTCACGCATAAGTAATTTCTGACAGCCGTTAGAAATAGTAGTGGTGTATTGGAATTAGAGCGGGCTGTAGGAGCTTTTACCCCCTTGAGGTGAAAAGGAAATACAACAAGATACAGGTAAGAAATGCATAATTTATGTAGATACGACTCTTCCTATGTTTGCACTGTTTAGTAACCCGCATGGGTAACCCGCATGGGTAACCCGCAAACCCGCGCGGGTTACCCAAGCAAACCCGAAACCCATTGCGGGTTATGAAAGTCGACCCGAAACCCGACCCATTTGCGGGTTGGGTTTTTTCGGGTTTGCGGGTTTGCGGGTTTTGGCGCAGTCTACTAAGGCTTATTCCGATCTAGGATATCCGAACTCGCTAGAATTCGACATTTTTAATACTCCGACGTACTAAACGGCTCCAATCAACCTTTAATAAATTCTACGCTCAGTACGACTAGGAATACTTTATACTAAGTCTAGAAGAGTGGCGATAGATTGACTATCTTCTTTAGATCACCCAGCCTTTCTTCAAATTCACTACTCTTCTTTCTAAAACTAAAGATATTAGTATTCACCTAATCTTTAATATCTATAATAAGCTCTTCAACTACCTTAAAAAGTTAAAGACTGCCTTAAAACAGAAGAAGATTACGTAGAAGCAGCTTATACTTACTTCTCTTAAGGTAGCAGAGAAGAAGCTTTCACAATATTATAGCTAGACCGATTAAATTAATAACAATCTTTACGTAATTAGCACTATTCTCTTACCCTAATAAAAGCTTAACTTTTTCAAAGGAAAGGACTAGGATAATCCGGTTAATAACTAGCGTACAATCTATCGAGTAAGTCTTAAGGAATACTTTCAGCCCTATAAGAAACTTTATTTAGATACACAATTATTATCTAGAGCTCGATCATCCGTAATCGCGATTTTAGAGCTTAAAATAGAATACGGGGTAGAAGAGTCCCAGCCCTTAGTATTAAGTGAATATAATAAGCTTAAGGAATACCTTAATAGTAATAAGTTATATCTTTTTATTATCTATCCTATATTAACTTATATTTAAGGTATTGTACGAACGCCTACCTATTTATTTTAGAAAGAGTATCAGTATCAGTACCCTACTCTTATAAACCTTATACGCGATATACTTTTAATACTAGCTATAGGGGCGGGTATAGAACGCCTTTTCAACTCCGCCCGGGATATCTGTCACTACCGACGAGGCTCTCTAAAGGTATTAACAGTTCAAGATCTAATAATGTTTATATATATATCAAAATTTGAGATCGAAGATACCTACCGAGCTTTGATTAATAAGTATCTTTTATATAAAGAGATATAAGCTAACTAAGAGGAGAGGGATACAACCAACACTTATCATTTTGAACCTATAAGTGATAATGACGAGGGTAGTGATACTTATAAGGATGTGGGGGATGAGGATAGTACTATCTAAGTAGTAGTTAATCAAGGCCAATCATAACGGAGGCAGCGTACTCAATCGGAGCTAGAGGTTGAAGAGCAGGAGGAGGATACGGATAGTAAGCCTAAGTTGCCTTATATACAACGGCATTCAGGGAGGGTTCGGAAGCGCTTAGACTGCGACATCGCCCGTCCATGGGCACTAGAAAGTGTCCACGGCCCGTGGGCCTTTTGAAATTCGACGCCCATCGCCCATCCTTATGCAAAAATAATGCAAAAATTACCCTATTCGGCGATTTTATGTACATAACTAGTTCTTGGCAGTACCCACCGTGCCAAGAGTGCCCGCATATGTCTTGGCGACGCTAAAAATGTCTCCACAAAAACGGGCGTTGTCGCAGTCTAGAAGCGCTTAAGTAAACTTGATAGTTATGAAATTGAGAGTGACAAACGCCGTAGAACTTGAAGCTACATAATGTATATTAGTTCCTTAAAAAATAAGATATTTATATTAAGATTTGATATTATCTAGCCAGTTTAAATGGGTACTCCTAGTTGTATTTATTTTCTACAATACTAAGCTGTAAACCAAATACTAAATAATACAGCCGAGAAATGCATATTTTATGCAAGTCTAGGGATTTCCCTATTTGTCCTGTTTGTCGGCCCTCAAAATGTTTGGAGGGCCGCCCTCTGAGGGCAAGAAAATAACCTGCCCGACCCGCGGGCAGGCGTCGCCTGCCCTCCGCCCGCAAAAGTGCGGGTCTGCGGGCGGCCCTCAGAGGGCCGCTCGCGGGCGGATATGAGGTCTATATATACCTTTAACTCCTATAATAGCCCTACCGTAGTACTATAATATCTAGGGTAAATCTATAGTAGTAGCTACTACTTTAATAAGCCCCCCGACTAATAGAATTATAACTATTATATTACCTTTAGTCGCTAAGGACTTCGGATCTCTATTTAGTACTTAAGAAAGAGTAAGAAGTAACAATAAGTAAGATCCTAGAGCTATAAAAAATATATACCTATAGATCGACCCTTTAGTAGTTAATATATTAAAACTGCCTATAGGTAAATCGATTAACTCGAGAGTTATCTATTACTAAACTTAACTTCTTTAAAGTATACCTACTTATATAAATTAAAGCTTTTAAATCGGAGATTATTATATTTAGCTAGAGAAAAGGGAAATAGTTGAGATAGGATAGTTATATTTAGCTTCGGAGTAGCTAGTTTAGTACTATTCATATATAATTAAGTGATTTTATTTAAGTTTAATATTTAACTTCAATACTTCCCCTTCTTAAATAGCCGAGATAGTAATTTAAGCCGGAATTTTATCCTAAAAATCTCTTTAATAAAAACCTATATTAATAAGCTTTATTAATTAAAGCTTTACTTTATATAAGATTTTAAAGCCTATTTAATCTATTCGATTATATATTAAACTAGCTTATAAATAGCTTCTATCTTATAATATAAGGTACTATTTTACTCGCCTAAAAATTAAGGAACTATATACTACTAATAACTAAGGAATATAAGTAAAAGTATACTAAATACTAGAGGTAGATATATAATAAAAAAGGCCTCTTAATTTAAGAAGCTTCTTATTTAATTACTAAGCTAGTAAAATTAGATAATATACCTCCTTTAGATACTAATATATATATAATATAGGCTTCAAAATTATATTTTATAGGCTATACTAAGGTATAGTAGGTATAGAGAAACTAGGTATAGATTTAATAGATAGATACTCGGCTAAATAGATAATTAATTAGTATATTTAATTTAATAGAGTTTTAGTTTAGAATTGATATTTAAAAGTAATAAATATAGGTAGGGTAGCTACTTAAGGGTAGTAGCTATTTAGTAGTAAAATATATTATATCTTTGTAAATAAATTAATAAATTCTCTTTTTTATTATTTTATATGAAAGATTAATTATAGTTATTAGATTAATCTATCTTTATATTCTTATCTTTTAGAATTATTTTTATCTTTCTAAGAAGATTTTTTAGATTAAATTAGATAATATATATAATATAAGAAACTTAAACGATTATAATATTAGTATTTAGCTTAAGTAATTAGAATAATTCTTAGATACTTACTATTATACTATTATAATTTAATATATTATTGATAGTAACTAAAAGTATTTAATCTATAATGTTAATACTAATTAAAAATAATAGCTAGTAATAGCTATAAAAATCTATTAAAATAAAGATATCTATTAAATACTATATAAAAGTATATATATTACTCAATCAGCTATATCTACTAAGATTAGAAAAGAGCGGATTTTATCGTTTTAGAGAATTTATATAGGTTAAATTTATTAGATATTATCGTACCTATCTATTTCTAGACTGCGACATCGCCCGTCCATGAGCACCTAGGAGGTGCCCATGGCCCGTCCACGGTGGGCCTTGGGCTATTTGGATTTTCGAGTGCCCGTCCATAACGCCCAAGGCCCACGGGCATGCCCACGGCGGGCATGCCCACGATGCCCACCATTATATAAAGTTGTCTTAAATATATATAGAAATTAGATATATAGTAAATTATAGTATATATATTTATATATATCTTATTAAAAATCCGGAATTATGATTGTAAATATATAAAAAATATAAATTTAGTTGAAATATTTTGAAATCTGTCAATTAAAATCACGTGTTGCGCTAATTTTGCTTACTAAAAAGGCCCACGGGCGCCCACGGTGTCCATGGACAATGGGCCCTAAGGGTAGGGCCCGTCCATGGGCGTATTGATAGTGCCCATCGCCCGCTTACATAAGGCCCGTGGGCACTGCCCACCCGCCCGTCCATGGGCGATGTCGCAGTCTAGGTATACCTATCCTAGGTATATCCACTATACCTACTATTATATAAAGTTACCTAAAGTAGACGTATAACTCGCTGACTTTATATAATAAATAACTGTTATTTATATCTACTTTACTAACTCTATATAAAATAGCGGTTTTAATCTATAATATCTATAAATTTTACTAAAATATCTAAGTATATAAGAAACTAATATATATATAATGTAACGGGCCAGAGCCCGGCTTGGATCACGTGAGGCACGTGCCCATAACATACATAAACCCCCATCGCCAGTAGATAGTTACCTTTTCTCTAAGATTGATATAAACAGCATGTTGGCCTAGCCTAATTGAATCAATAAAGCTTCAGCCCTTCACATATATCAATCAATCTTCCGATTCTTATCGTTAAACCATCGGACCCCAACGGAAAAGCCCTAGAAGCGACAATCCCTAGGCATAGCAGAAGAATTACCCCTGAATCACCCCCGATTCAGCGACGAAGCACTAATAGAATACTAGTAACCATAGAACCTCAGGCTCAGCAGAGTACACCCCTACAGTGGGTAGAAGCTATAATGCAATAGATAATAAGGAATCAATAAGCCTATAGCGAAGCAATAGAGCAGTTCACTACCTCCTAACAGCGGATAGTGACTGTATAAGAGCAGTACGCGGCAACCTAGGAACGACTCTCCGCCGTATAAGGAGAGCGAATCCGCCGCCTCGAAGAGATAATAGTATAATAAGGCATTAGCAATCAAACCGATGAGATTACTAGCGAAACGGTTACGGAATAAGTACGAACCGCTACCGAAACGCTGTCGAGTATCGGAGAGCCCTACCGCCGACTAAGAGTAGACTTCGGCACAACCCACTCTAACCCGGACCCAACCCAACCCAACCCAACCCAAAATGGGTTTTGGGTCCATTGCTTCGACCCAACGATGGGTTTTGGGTTATAGCTCATAACCCAAAACCCATTGGGTAACCCATTGGGGCCCCAATATAGTGCAAACAAAACAAACCAAAAAATTATATGGTTGAAATTCAAAGATTTGAATATATATATATCTAGCATAGTAACTCAATTTCAAAACAAAAACAAATTTATATAAAAAGCATTTTATACTATTAAAAAAGTATATTTAAAAATGCCAAGACTTGGATTTTATGAATTTTATGAATTTTTATGCAAAAATGGGTTCAAATGGGTTATTATTGGGTTATTGGGTTTAACCCATTGGGTTTTGGGTCGGACACTCCGACCCAAAATGGGTTCTGCCGAAGTCTAACTAAGAGCGAGACTCCCCGACCTAGTGTTATTCGCGGGAAGTGTGAATAACTGGCCTATATGGCGTATCACGATAGAAAATAAACTAGCAGTCGATAGCGAAGCTATTAGTGCTATATACGAATAATTTATGTACGTATTCTCCCGGCTAGAGAAGCTCGCCTAGAAGAATACCGGGACGTATATAAAATACCGACGAAACGACGGTACCCCGGAAGAGCTCCTAGATTACCTAGAAAAGATCTATAGTGACCTAAACGTATAAGTATAGGCTGCCCGACGCCTTTACTAGATTAATCAATCTAAAGGTATAGCTTTCTCGAAATTCCTACTACGGCTAGAAAAGGAGTTCGCCGACGCTAGAGTACTAGAATAGCCCGACGAAGCTAAGTAATAGATCTTGCTCGGTTCCCTAAATCGAACTATAAGCAATTCGCTGATAAATTGTAGTATACCCGCTATCTTCTAAGGCTTGATCTCCCGTCTTTATAAAATTACTATAGATATAGACGCGTTAAATATAAGTAAACCGCCTACTCGCCGCTCTACGAAATCTATAGATAAAATAGATTAGACCCCGACGGTATCGGTAAACCGCGTCGATCCGTACGCGAATTACCGACGAATCAGTCGCGAACGCTACGAACGACTAAAGAGAGTATAATAGGTTAGTAAAGAAGAGATAAGTAGCCGCCGGGAAGAAGGCCGCTGCCTACGTTGTAGAAAGCCCGGCTGCTGGATTTCGGAGTACCCGCTTTTATTAGTAAGACGCCTAGAGTAGAAAAACCGTGTAGCGGTAAGTAAGCTGAAAAGGAAGGAGGATCGCGATAGTAGCGAAAAGCCGCCGAAATATAAACGAACCGCCCGTATTAATAAATCGTGAGTAGTAGTCGAGGAAGATACCGAACCTAGTTCGATAGAAGAGAGCGTATAAACTAATAGTAAGTCGGAAAACGAGTAGCTCCTATTCTTAGCCGCGAGTAGGAGCGAAAGGGGGTCGAGAAACTAGATAGAAGCGAGGAACTACCGTTCTTAGTTAACGTTAGAGTGAATGGAATCTAATTTACAGAAGTATTAGTCGATTATAGCTATTTAAGCTACGTAATAGTAAATAGAGTACTCGCTAAATCTCTCGACCTTCTGTATATATAGATTCGTCCCCGATAGCTAGACGGAGTAGTAGCGAATTAGGGCCGAATTACCTACGTTACGTATTTTAATATAGATATCTACGGCTACTAGAACGGTACGATCTTTACGTATATTATTAAGGACTAGATAGACGAAATCATTCTTAGCCTTCTATAGATTAAGGATGTCGATAGAATATACTCGCCGAATAAAGGATATATAGACATTTTCTCTAAAACTAGAGAGAAAACTAGATACTAGAATCGAAAGAATAGGACTATCGGACCGGTCGGTATAAAAGTATTACGTATTAACCGCGCTTTAGCTAAGTCGATTCAGCAGCTATTCGATAGTACCCCTCGACCGGATTGTCTATAGATTAGGAAAGTTACGCTAGACGATATCGACAAAGCACTACGACCTAAGAAGTATATCGATTTAAAGAAAAAGCTACCGAAACGGTACTAGCAATAGCTAGATATCTTTAGCTAATAGTTAGCTAATAAGCTACTACTATATCGATCTAGAATTAACTATAAGATACTATTAAATCGCGACCGAAATAGTAATAAAGAATACCCGCCTTACGGTCTACTATACGGAATAAATAAAGAGGAGCTTTTATACCTACGAAAAACGTTGATAGATCTACTAGATAAGAACTTTATCTATATTAGTAAGTTACCTATAGCCGCCCTAGTACTCCTAGTAAGGAAACTAGGCGGGGGAGTTCGATTCTATATCGATTATAGAGGGTTAAACGACTTAAGCGTAAAAGATCGCTATCTACTACCTCTTATCCGAGAAACCCTATAGAATATAGCGAAAGCGAAGTGGTTTACGAAACTAGATATTATCGTAGCGTTTTATAAAGTACGGGTAGTACTAGGAGAGGAATAGAAGATAGCATTTCGTACCCGATACGGTCTCTTTAAGTAGAATATTATGCCTTTTAGCCTTACCGGAGCGCTAGCGACATTCTAACGGTTTATTAACTAAACCCTATAAGAGTACCTCGACGACTTTATATTAGCGTATATCGACGATATTATTATTTACTCTAGCGGTTCGATAGAGGATTACCGCCGAAAAGTATACGAAGTGCTACGGAAGCTTAAAGACGCGGGGTTGTAATACGATATTAGAAAGTCGGAGTTCGAACAGAGCTCTGTTAAATACCTTAGATTTATTATCTATATAGGCGAGGGAATTTACGTGGACCCGAAGAAAGTAGAAGCAATACGTACGTAGAAAGCCCCGAAATTAATACGCGATATACGCGGATTCCTCGGATTCGCTAACTTCTATAGATTGTTTATACCCCGATTCGCTACCTTATCGGTACCGTTAACCCGGCTTACGAAGAAGGACGTAGTGTTCTAATAGGATAAAGCTTACTAGTAGTCCTTTACAGAACTTAAGGACCTCTTTATTAACGCCCTAATCCTAGTATACTTCGAAGAAGAAAGAGAGACGGTAGTAGAAACCGATATATCCGGATAGGCTATAGGAGCTATACTATCCTAACGATAAGACGACGGCTAGTTAGCCCCCTATACCTATATCTCGTAGAAATTGACTAGACCTTGCCAACTCCCATGGGAGTGGTCCCATGGGAGTGCCAAGAATGGGACTAAGCAGTCCAGTCCGCTCCCATGGGACTTTGATGGGACTCCCATGGGACTGTAAACAGTGCAAACATGTAGAAAAATGTGACCTGCATAACTTATGAAGAATGCCACTATTTTTTTGGGTATTTTAATTACTTAAAGAATAGAGATAATAATACTTTGGGCTTAGTATTAGGACAAAAATAGTAGATTTGTAGTGCTATATCTAGAGCGCAATTTCTGATAGATAGTAGAATTTGATATTTTAACAGCTGTTAAAAAATTCTATACTAATCTATCTCTATTATGTATAAGTATACAAATTATTATCTCTTCGTCGCTTGCGTTCTCTTTAGGGACGTTGTTGACTGAACGGAATCACTGGTAATTGGTGGCGTATAGAATGATCTGGCTCTGCCTCTTCTGTGGCGGTATCTATATTGTCTAGATTAACGTTGTCGGCTTTATCGTCTATACTATCTTCGCCATCTTTACTATCACTAATTGGCTCTAGCGTATAGTCAGGAAGTCCTGCCTCCCTTTGTTCGTCAATCTCTATTCTTTCGTCTTAGTTAAAAACGGATTCAGGTTAAACAGTATCCTTAGTTTCTTCATCTCTAATATCAAACCTTGATAAACAACGGAGTATTATTAGATCTTGAATCGTCGATTTATTTAAAGAGCCCCGTCGGTAATAGTAAATATCGCGAGCAGTACTAAAGAGACGCTTAATACCTGCGCCTATGGTTAGGATCGAAAAGACGTCCTATATAAGTCCTGCGAGTATCGGAAAGTTACGCGCATTCTCCCTCTAGAAATGGTATAGATTCGTTGCGCTCTATTCTATAGAGAGTTAGTAACATAGTTCGTAAAATAGTAAAAGGATAGTATAAACTTACTAAGATTGAGATATCTCTTAAGTTCTTCTTCCTAA